CTGGGGGTCCCACAGGGCTCCAGCACTGGGGGTCCCACGGGGCTGGGATGTGTCCTGGGTGTCCCACGGGGCTGGGACGTGTCCTGGGGGTCCCATGGAGCTCCAGCACATCCTGGGGGTCCCACGGGGCTCTGATGTGACCCGAGGGTCTCACAGGGTTGTCATATCCTGGGGGTCTCGTGGGGGTCTGGTGCACCCAGAGGGTCCCACAGGGCTCCAGCACTGAGGGTCCCACGGGGCTGCTGTGTCATGGGGGTCCCATGGGGGTCCAACACATCCTGGGGGTTCCACCAGGGCTGCCTTGTCCTGGGGGTCTCCTGGGGGTCCCGTGGGGCTCCAGCACATCCTGGGGATTTTCTGGGGGTCCCGTGGGGTTCCAGCACATCCTGGGGGTCTCCTGGGGGTTTGGTGCATCCTGGGGGTCCCCCGGGGCTCCAGCACACCCCGATTGTCCCCCCTCGTTTGTCCCCGCAGACCTGTGTGACCACGCGCTCCACATCCCGCACGATGAGCTGTGACTGCTCCGGAGCGGGCACCGGGACCCACCGGGACCTGCCGGGACCCACCGGGATCCACCGGGACCCGCTGGGACCCACCGGGACCTGCTGGGACCCACCAGGACCCACTGGGACCCACCGGGACCTGTCAGGATGGCCCCGGGACCCTCCGGGACCCACCGGGACCTGCCGGGACAGCTCCGGGACCCACCGGGACGGTCCTGCGACCCACTGGGACCCACCAGGACGGCCCCGGGACAGACGGATCTACCGGGATCTCCATGGCTCTGGAGCTGCTGCCTCGCCCCGTTCAGAGCTCCCATCCTGTTTATTCCCCGTGGGGGCCACCGGGACGGCCACGGGGCCACCGGGACATTTCAGGGACATTCCTGCCCGGTGCCGGGGGACGCGGGGGACGCACCGGGCTCAGCCCCCGTGGGGTGGGGGTTTGGGAGCCCCCCTCCCTTTGCAGGCAATAAAGGGGCCATGGGCCCACCCGAGGCAGCCGTGCTCCCGTGGGTGGGGTGGGGTGGGGGACAGCAGCGTCCCCACGTGTCCCCGTGTGTCCCCACGTGTCCCCACACGTCCCCGTGTGTCCCCACGCGTCCCCACATGTCCCCACGCGTCCCCGCTGGCTCGGGGGCAGCGCTCACCCCCGCGGGGCTCAGCCCGTGGCTCTGTGTCACTCCGTGTCACCCCAAGTCCCCCGCTGCAGGGCCACCACGGGGGTTTGGCCCCACGTCACCCCCGTGTCACCCGCCGTGGGGTGCCGGCCCTCCGGGGTGTCACCCGGTGTCACCCGGTGTCACCCCACCCCGCCCGTGCGCAAAGGGCGCTGGGAGGGTTCTGGCCTCTCTGCCATGGCCCGTGTCACCTCATGTCGTCACCTGGCCCGGGGACAGGAGCAGCCGCAGGGCTCTGCCCCTCTTCGGCACCGCCGCCACCGCGTGTCGCTCGGTTGTGTCACTCCATCTCACTCGGTCTTGTCACCCTATGTCACCCCGTGTCACCCCATCATGTCATTCCATGTCACCCCATCGTGTCACCCCATCGTGTTGCCCCATTGTGTCACTCCATCATGTCAGCCCCTGTCACCCCATGTTGCCCCATGTCACCCTATTGTGTCACCACCCCGTGTCACCCCATGGTGTCACCCTATGGTGTCACCCTGTGTCACCCCATGGTGTCACCCCATGGTGTCACCCTCTGTCACCCTGTGTCACCCCATGGTGTCGCCCCATGGTGTGACCCTCTGTCACCCCGTGTCACCCCATGGTGTCGCCCCATGTCACCCCATGGTGTCACCCTCTGTCACCCTGTGTCACCCCATGGTGTCACCCCATGTTGCCCCATGGTGTCACCCTCTGTCACCCTGTGTCACCCCATGGTGTTGCCCCATGGTGTCGCCCTCTGTCACCCTGTGTCACCCCATGGTGTTGCCCCATGTCACCCCATGGTGTCACCCTATTGTGTCACCCTGTGTCGCCCCATGGTGTCACCCCATGGTGTCACCCTCTGTCACCCTGTGTCACCCCATGGTGTCGCCCCATGGTGTCGCCCTCTGTCACCCTGTGTCACCCCATGGTGTCGCCCCATGTCACCCCATGGTGTCACCCTATGGTGTCACCCTGTGTCGCCCCATGTCACCCCATCGTGTCGCCCGTTGCTCCGGGCTCAGCGGGGACTCTGACGTCACCACCGCCCCTCAAGCCACATCCAATCGCCCCAAGCCACGGTGGCCACATGCGGGATGACGTCACGGGCTCCTGTGACCTCATACCGCCCGGCTGCGCGTCTGTGACGTCACGGGGCTGCCCCCACCCCCGCTGCCGAACCCCACCGGGACACCGGGCCGTGACGTCACGCGCCGCGGCCGGTGACGTCACGAGACGGGGCGGGCACCCCCTCACCCCACCCCTGGCCCTGATCAGGCGAATGCGGCGGCCACCTATAGCCTGCGCCCCCCGCCACTTCATTAGCGTGGCCCCGCCCCGCGGCGCGCCGCTTGGCCAATAGCAAACGGCTCTGCCCCGGGAGGGGGCGGGGTTATGCTAATGAACAGCGCCGCGCTCCGCCCCGCCCTCACGTTGAGGACCCCCGGCCGCCGCCGCTCCGGCCCCGCTCCCGCCCCGGCCCCGCTCCCGGTCCCGGCCCCGCTCCCGGTCCCGGCCCCGGCCCCGTTCAGTCCCGGCCTGTCCCGCCCCGGTACCGCCATGACGCTCCTCGCCGCCGGCAGCCGGGCGGCCGCGCGCCTCCGCGGGCCCAAGGTGAGCGCGCCCGGCCCGGCCTCGCCGCGCCTTAAAGGGGCGACGCCGCGGGGGGAAGGGAGAGCGGGGGGGGTCCGGCTCTTAAAGGGGCGACGCGGGGGGCGCTGCCTTAAAGGGGCCGCGCGGCGGAGGGGGGGATGGGACCGGGGGGACCGGCATCGCGACCGGGACCGGCACCGGCATCGGGACCGGGGTGGGCGCGGGGCCGCGGCCGCAGCACGTGGCGGCAGCCGGCGCCCGGCGCTCCCGCCGCAGCCTTCCCGGAGCCGGGGGTAACCGGGAGTGGCTCGGGGGGGCTCCGGTTCGTGCCCGGGGAGCTCCGCTGGTGCCTCAGCCCCGTGCGGGGGTCCCCGCCCCGGGGCAGCCCCGCTGGCGGTTCCGGTTCCTCGCTGTGCAGCGCTGGGCTTGGGGGGTCCGGGACGACCCCCGGGACCCCGCGCCCGGTGGCACCGGCAGTGGGGGGGGTGGAGGCGGGGACCGTCCCCTCCGCCGCCGCCCTTCCCCAGCGTCCCGGTGCCGTAGAGGACACCGGGGTCACAGCGGGAGGACCCCCGTGCTAGCCGAGCGCCGGTACCGGGCCGGAGCGGCCCCGACCCCTCCGTTCTGTTTGGCTTGGCCGCGGCCCCGGCGTTTCGTAACGGGCGTTGCGGTGTCTTTATCGACCGGGCGATATTTTGGGATATTCGCCATGCCCCACTTGGCCCTGCTCTCCCCTCAAAACGGGCGGACCGGAGCCGCCCCCCTGGCTTGAGCCGTGATCCCGGCCTTCCTCCTCCTCCTCCTCCTCCTCCCCGCACCCCCGAGCGCAACGGGAGCCCCGGGACGGTCCCGGTGTGGCCCCGCGCTCCCCCCCCGGCCGGTGCCCGGTGTCACCGCCAACACGTGTGACCTTGAGCCAGCGGCACCTCGGTGGCAGCGGGACGAGCCGTGGGGACCCCCAGAACGGGGCGACACCGGGGGCGACACCGGGGCTGGCACGGTGGGGGTGGCGGGGCGGCAGCGGCCGCCTTGACCTTGGGCTTCTCGCTGCCGCCTCCATTGTTCCGTTTCCCGTTCCCGGAGCCGCCTGTTGCGGGGGAACGCGGCCTCGCCACCCGCCGCGGCCACACCCGGCACACCGGGGACCCCCGCCCGGGCCGGGGGACACCGGGGGACACCGGGGGGCTTCTCTGCAGCGCGGCCCCGCCGCGTCCTCCCGGCGGCCGGCGGAAAAACCGAGTCATGTTCCGGCTCTGCCGCAGGCGCTGCCGCAGCTGCGGCCCCGGGAGCTCCGGGCGTCCCTGGGGATGGCAGCCCCGGTGTGCCCCGGTGTCCCCCGGTGTGCCCCGGTGTCCCCCGGTGTGCCCCGCTGTCCCCCGGTGTCCCCCGGTGTCCCCCGGTGTGCCCCGGTGTGCCCCGGTGTGCCCCGCTGTCCCCCGGTGTGCCCCGGTGTGCCCCGTGCCAGGCCTGGGCTGTGTTCCCGGGGTGTCCCCGCCGGGCCGGAGTCCCCGCGGTTCCCGGTTCCCACGCGTGGGCGAGGAACAAAGTTCGGATTCCCCGGCTCAGGAAAACCGCCGGGCGCGGCTCCAGGAAGGAGAACGCGGCCGCGTTCCCCGTGCCAGCTCCGGCCCCGGCTGCGAGGGCAGCACGGGGCTGATCCCGGCCGCTCCCGGTCCCGCTGCTCCCGGTCCCGCTGCTCCCGGTCCCGCTGATCCCGGCCGCTCCCGGTCCCGCTGCTCCCGGTCCCGCTGCTCCCGGTCCCGCTGATCCCGGTCCCGCTGATCCCGGCCGCTCCCGGTCCCGCCGTTCCCGGTCCCGCTGATCCCGGCCCGGCCCCGGCCCCGCCGTTCCCGGCTCCGAGCCGCGCCCGCGTGGGCGAGTGAAGCGGCTCCGGCGTCCCTGGGAGCCGGGTCTCAGCCTCGTGTGGCTGCCCCGGTGACAGGGGGGTCTCTGTGTCCCTTGTCCCGCAGAACGCTCCGTGTGTCCTCCTGGCCGCTCGCCACGCCAGCGCTGCCACGGTAAGGGGACAGGGGGGTCCTGTCCCGTGAGCCCGGTGCTGTCACCTGGTGCTGTCACCCGGTGCTGTCACCCGGTGCTGTCACCTGTTCTCCTGCCTCTCCTGAGACCCTCTCCAAGGGGATGCCCGTCACTTGTCATCCTCTTTCCTGTCCCAGTCTCTCTTGTCACCCTCTTTGCCATGAACCCCTCTCCTGTCAGCCCATCCTGTCACTCTGCTCTAATGGGAGTTCCCTCTCCTGTCACCCCCTTTCCTGTCACCCCCTCTCCTGTCACCCCCTCTCCTGTCACCCCTCTTCAAGGGGAGCACCCTCCCTCATCACCCTCTCTCCTGTCCCCCCCTTTCAGCCCCTGTTCTATCACCCCTTCTCCTGTCCCCGTTTCCTGTCCCTGTCTCTGTTGTCACCCTCTTTCCTGTCACCCCTGTCCACGGGGAGTCCCCTCTCAGCTGTCACACCTTTTCCTTGTCCCTCCTCTCCTGTCCCCCCCGTCCTGTGCTCAGCCCCGGTCTCACAGCCCTGTCCCCTGTCCCCAGAACCTCAAAGACGTCTTGGCCACCATGATCCCCAAGGAGCAGGCGAAGATCAAGAGCTTCCGGCAGCAGCACGGCAGCACGACCATCGGGCAGATCACGGTGGACATGGTGAGTGTGTGGCCAAACCGGGGTCACCGGGGCCACACCGGGGCCAAACCGGGGCCACCGGGCCCTGCCACCGCCCCTCACTGCGACCTCCCGGCTCCCTCCAGGTGTACGGCGGCATGAGGGGCATGAAAGGGCTGATCTACGAGACCTCCGTACTGGATCCTGACGAGGTAGGGCCCCGTCCCCCCTGTACCCCCTGTCCCATCCCACCCCATCCCCCTGTCCCACCCCACGTCCCCCCGGCCCCGCTGAGGCTCCCGGCCCCGCAGGGCATCCGCTTCCGTGGCTACAGCATTCCCGAGTGCCAGAAGAAGCTGCCCAAAGCTGCGGGGGGAGAGGAGCCACTGCCCGAGGGGCTCTTCTGGCTGCTGGTGACTGGAGAAATCCCGACCCAGGAGCAGGTACCACCAGGAGGGGCTGGAGAAAGCTGAGGGGGGGGTCTGGCAGCCCCCAGACCCAGAAGGGGGCTGGAAAAACCTGAGTGGGGGTCTGGCAGCCCCCAGACCCAGGAGGGGCTGGCAAATGGCTGAGGAGGGGTCTGGCAGCCCCCAGACCCAGGAGNTGGCAAATGGCTGAGGAGGGGTCTGGCAGCCCCCAGACCCAGGAGGGGCCTGGAAAAAGCTGAGGAGGGGTCTGGCAGCCCCCAGACCCAGGAGAGGCTGGCAAATGGCTGAGGAGGGGTCTGGCAGCCCCCAGACCCAGGAGAGGCTGGCAAATGGCTGAGGAGGGGTCTGGCAGCCCCAGGCCCGCAGCTCAGCCCCGGTGTGTCCCCGTAGGTGACCTGGCTGTCCCGGGAGTGGGCCAAGCGTGCAGCTCTGCCCTCCCACGTGGTGACCATGCTGGACAACTTCCCCACCAACCTGCACCCCATGTCCCAGCTGAGCGCCGCCGTCACCGCCCTCAACAGCGAGAGCAAGTTCGCCCGCGCCTACGCCGAGGGCATCCACCGCGCCAAGTACTGGGAGGTACGGGGGGGGCTGCCGAGTTTTGGGGTGGGTTTTGGGTGCGGGGGGCTCGGGAGAGCACGGCCCCTCACCCCGTGGTGCCAGTTTGTGTACGAGGACGCCATGGACCTGATCGCCAAGCTGCCGTGCGTGGCCGCCAAGATCTACCGCAACCTGTACCGCGAGGGCAGCGGCATCGGCGCCATCGACCCCAACCTCGACTGGTCCCACAACTTCACCAACATGCTGGGCTACACCGACCCCCAGTTCATCGAGCTGATGCGGCTCTACCTCACCATCCACAGGTACGGAGCTGGGAGCGCACCCGGAGCAGCCGGGGACGGGGTTTGGCCCCGCTCCCAACCCCACCGACGTGCCCGGGCTGCTCCCGGGGCGTCACCGGGAGCAGGCGGGGCTGAACCGGGCTGGCCACGCCGTGCTCCCCAGCCCCAAAATGCTGTGCAGGGCGTTTGGTGGGGCTGGGGGAATCCTCATGGCCCTCTCGCCCCGGCAGTGACCACGAGGGAGGGAACGTCAGTGCCCACACGAGCCACCTCGTGGGCAGCGCCTTGTCCGACCCCTACCTCGCCTTCGCCGCCGCCATGAACGGGCTGGCCGGGCCCCTGCACGGCCTCGCCAACCAGGTGGGCACTGCAGCCTGCCCGGGGCGCCCCTCTCCCTGTCTGTCCCTCTGTCCCTCTGTCCATGTCTGTCCCTCTGTCCATGCCCCTCTCCCTGTCGGTCCCTCTGTCCCTCTGTCCATGCCCCTCTCCCTGTCTGTCCCTCTGTCCATGTTACTCTCCCTCTCCCTATCCTTCTGTCCATGCCCCTCTCCCTGTCTGTCCCTCTGTCCTTCTGTCCATGTCCCTCTCCCTATCCTTCTGTCCATGTTCCTCTCCCTGTCTGTCCCTCTGTGTCCCTCTCCCTGTCTGTCCCTCTGTTCCTCTGTCCATGTTACTCTCCCTCTCCCTGTCCTTCTGTCCATGTTCCTCTCCTTGTCTGTCCCTCTGCGTCCCTCTCCCTGTCTGTCCCTCTGTCCCTCTGTCCATGTCTCTGTCCCTCTGTTCCTCTGTCCATGTCCCTCTCCCTGTCTGCCCCCACCTCCTGTCTCTCTACCTGTCCATGTGTCCCTCTCCCTGTCTGTCTCTCCTGTTCTTGTATTCCTCTGTCTGTCCCTCTCCCCATCCCCTTGTCCCTCTCCCCATGTCCCTGTGTCCCTCTCCCTGTGTCCCTCTCCCTGTCCCTTTCCCCATCCCTGTCCCACTGTCCCTCTCCACATCCATGCATCCCTCTCCCCATCCCCATGTCCCTGTGTCCCTCTCCCTGTCCCTCTCCCCATCCCCGTGTCCCTGTGTCCCTCTCCCTGTCCCTCTCCCCATCCCCGTGTCCCTGTGTCCCTCTCCCCGTGTCCCTCTCCCCATCCCTGTGTCCCTCTGTCCCTCTCCCCGTGTCCCCGTGTCCCTCTCCCCTCTCCCCGCCTCACTCGTCCGTCCGGTCCCGCAGGAGGTGCTGCTGTGGCTCACGGACCTGCAGAAGGAGCTGGGCAAGGACGTGTCGGACGAGAAGCTGCGGGATTTCATCTGGAACACGCTCAACTCGGGCAGGGTGGGATCGGGGGCGGCTGGGGGTCAGGGCCGGGCTGGGGTCAGGGGTTATTCTGGGGGTCAGGGCCGGCCTGGGGTCAGGGGCCAGGCTGGGGGTCAGGGGCTGTGGGTCAGGGGCCAGGCTGGGGGTCAGGGGCTGGGGGTCAGGGGCCGTTCTGTGGGTCGAGGGCTGGGGGTCAGGGGCGGTGCTGGGGATCAGGGGCTGGGCTGTGGGTTAGGGGCTGTTCTGGGGGTTGGGGGCCACGCTGTGGGTCCAGAGCCATGCTGTGGGTCGGGGGCTGTTCTGTGGGTCCGGGGCTGTTCTGTGGGTCAGGGGCCGTTCTGTGGGTCCGGGGCCGCGCCGTCGGTCTGGGGCTGTTCTGTGGGTCAGGGGCTGGGGGTCCAGGGCCGTTCTGTGGGTCAGGGGCCGCGCTGTGGGTCAGAGGCTGTGGGTTAGGGGCTGTTCTGTGGGTCAGGGGCCGCGCTGTGGGTCAGAGGCTGTGGGTTAGGGGCTGTTCTGTGGGTCCGGGGCTGTTCTGGGGATCCGTGGCTGTGGGTCCAGGGCTGTTCTGTGGGTCCGGGGCTGTTCTGGGGATCCGTGGCTGTGGGTCCAGGGCTGTTCTGTGGGTCCGGGGCTGTTCTGTGGGTCAGGGGCCGTTCTGGGGGTCTGGGGCCGTTCTGGGGGTCTGTGGCTGTGGGTCCAGGGCTGTTCTGTGGGTCCGGGGCTGTTCTGTGGGTCAGGGGCCGTTCTGTGGGTCAGGGGCCGTTCTGTGGGTCCGTGGCTGTGGGTCCAGGGCTGTTCTGTGGGTCCAGGGCTGTTCTGTGGGTCAGGGGCCGTTCTGGGGGTCTGGGGCTGTTCTGTGGGTCCGTGGCTGTGGGTCCAGGGCTGTTCTGGGGTTCCGGGGCTGTTCTGTGGGTCCGGGTCCACCCCGTGGGTCCGCGGCAGCCCTGTCCCGCCCCGCAGGTGGTGCCGGGCTACGGGCACGCGGTGCTGCGCAAGACGGACCCGCGCTACACCTGCCAGCGCGAGTTCGCGCTCAAGCACCTGCCCCGGGACCCGCTCTTCAAGCTGGTGGCGCAGCTCTACAAGATCGTGCCCGACGTGCTGCTGGAGCAGGGCAAGGCCAAGAACCCCTGGCCCAACGTGGACGCGCACAGCGGGGTCCTGCTGCAGGTGAGCCCCGGCGCCGCCGCGCCTCTGCCCGTGGCCCTCGCTCCTGCCTGGCCGTTTCCCTGTCCGTGTGTCCCTCTCCCTGTCCGTGTGTCCCTCTCCCTGTTCTGTCCTTCCTCCTGTCCGTCCGTCCCTCTCCGGGTGTGTCCCTTGCCCTGTGTGTTCCTCTCTCTGTTCTCCTCCATGTCTCTGTCCCTCTCCCTCTCCCTGTGTGTCCCTCTCCCTGTCCCTTGCCCTTTGTGTCCCTCTCCCTGTCCCTCTCCCTGTCCGTGTGTCCCTCTCCCTGTCCGTGTGTCCCTTTCCATGTTCACATCCCTCTCCCTGTTCCATCCTTCCTCCTGTCCGTCCGTCCCTCTCCCAGTGTGTCCCTTGCCCTGTGTGTCCCTCTCCCTGTTCTCCTCCCTGTCTGTGTGTCCCTCTCTGTGTCCCTCTCCCTGTTCTCCTCCCTGTCTGTGTGTCCCTCTCTGTGTCCCTCTCCCTGTTCTCCTCCCTCTCCCTGTGTCCCTCTCCCCATCCTGTCCATCTCTTCCCCCGTCCCATCCCTCCCTCTCCCCAGCCTGTTCCTCTCCTCATCCATCCCCCGCTCCCCCTGCTGCTCTCTCCCTGTGTCCCACCTGTCCCTTCTCTGTCCCGCCCATCCCTCTCTCCTCACCCTGCTGCTCTTTCCCTGTCCTGTCCGTTCCTCTCCCCGTGCCCGGGGGGCTCGTGGCCGCCCGGTGCCCCCGCCGAGCCCGTGCCCCCGCCGAGCCCGTGCCCCCGCCGAGCCCGTGCCCACGCCGTGCCCCTGCCCGCAGTACTACGGCATGAAGGAGATGAATTACTACACGGTGCTGTTCGGGGTGTCGCGGGCGCTGGGCGTCCTCTCGCAGCTCATCTGGAGCCGGGCGCTGGGATTCCCCCTGGAGCGGCCCAAATCCATGAGCACCAAGGGCCTGATGCAGCTCGTGGGCTACAAATCCGCCTGAAGAAGGGACGGGGACTCGGCTCCCCCCGGGACCCCCCCTCGGGGCCGCTCGCCCACCCCCCCCGCCGCGGGGAGGGGCAGAGGCAGCCCTGGGGTCCTCCCCCACCCAGCCCCGCACCCAGCTCCCCCTGCCCCGCTGGGGGCGGGGGGCTCCCGCGCCCCCTCCCCGCCCCTGCAGCTCTCACTGCGCACACCGGGAGCCCCCCGGGCTCCGCTGGGAGCCCCCCCGGGCTCCCCACGTTGGGAGCCCCCCCGGCTCCGCCGCTGCTGGGCTGGGGGGGCTCCTGGGGGGCGCAGCCCCCCCGAGAGGGGATCGGTGCAGCCCCGCGTCCGGCCCCGCAGGGACTCGATACACTCCTCCCCGTGTTTGTGTGACCCCCCGGCCCTTCCCCTCCCTCCCCCACCCCGCCTGAAGCCCCCCGGGAGCCAGAGCTGGGACCCCCCCCCGGCCCCACCCCGGCTCCTCGCAGCTCTCGGGCACTTCTGTACAAACAACAACAAAAATGCAAAATAAATGTTTTTATTAACAAACCCCCAGCCTCCCCCCTCTCCCTGCCCGAGGGGATGGTGCCCCCGCCCCACCCGGGGGTCTCAGCATGCAGCCCCCTCCCCACCAAAGAGCTGAATGAGGACCAGGAGGCTGCTGACCCTTGGAAAATTCTCTTTATTGGCCTGGCAAAGCCCTTCCTTCCTCGGGCAGCACGGCCAGGACAGGCTCGGGGGGCTCGGGGAGCCCCTCACCCCCCTGGGGGGGGCTTCGTGGTGGTGGGCTGGGGGAAACTGAGGCCTTCCCATCCCTGCTCCCCTCCCACAGGTGAGGAATGGCGAGGTGTGGGGCGGGGTGGGGACCGGGGGGTCCCTGCGGAGGGTGCTGGGGTGGGGGGCGGCGGGGGGGCAGCGGGAGCCGCCCCCTCCCCACCCTGTGCGTGTGGCTTGTGCAAAGTGTGCGACGGCTCGGGGGGCTCGGGGGGCTCCTGCCCTTCTGTTCCTGGAGGAGCTGGGGTTGAATTTGGGGGGGGGGTCCCAGCAGCTTCTTTTTCATCCCCCCTCCCACCAAACCCCCCCATCCCGCTCGTCCCCGGGACACGGCGGGGCCCAGGCACCGGAGCTGCCCCCACCGGGGCCCTCCGGCCTGGCTGGGGAGCTTAAAAAGAACCAAAAACAAAGAAAGAAAAGAAAAGAAGAAACCCAACCAAACAAAAACATTTTAAAACCCCAAATCAGCTGCAAAACCAGGGAGAGTCCAGCGCCGGGACCCCTGGGGGGGGCTCACGGCAGCCCCGGGGGGCGTTGAGGCAACGGCAGCAGAAACGCAATTCTCGAATAAATATTTCGGGGGGTGGGCTTGGCACGGGCCTGGCACGGTCTGGGGGTGCCTGGCACAGTCCCAGGGGTGCCCGGGGTGCCCGGGCCCGCCGCCCTCACGTCTGGTGCACCTCGTGGAACATCAGCTCCCGCGGGATGCGCGTCTCCGGCCCGAAGTTCTTGGCGGCGCGGCGCTCGAAGGCGGCCACCATCTGCTTGACCACCTCGTCGAAGAAGACGGTGGCCAGCTGGGAGTGCAGCAGGGAGCGGAACTCGAAGGAGATCTGGGCAGGAGGAGGAGGAGGAGGAGGAGGTGAGCCCCCAGTGGGTGAGCCCTGCCCTCCCCCGGGGGCTGGAAGTGACCTGGAATGGTTTGGAAGGCACCTGGAAGTTCTGGAAGGGACCTGGAGTGACCATGAAGGGACAGGGATGGTCAGGAAGGGACCTGGGATGGTCTCAGGGGGATTTGGGAAGGTCTGGAAGGAGCTGGGACGGGTTGGAAGGGCTTGGGAAGGTCTGGAAGGGAAGTGAAGTTCTGGAAGGGATTTGGGGAGCTCCAGAGGGATTTGGGATGGTCTGAAAGGACCTGGGATGGTCTGAAGGGACCCGGAGTGGCCAAGAAGGGACTGGGGGTGGTTGGAAAGGGACCTGGGATGGTCTGGAAGGACCTGGGATGGTCTGAAAGGGACCTGGAAGTTCAGGAAGGAAGTTGGGATGGTCTGGAAGGGATCTGGAAGTTCTGGAAGTGAGCTGGGATGGTCTGAAGGGGCTTGGGAAGTTCTGGAAGGAACCTGGAAGCTCAGGAAGGGACAGGGATGGTTCTGAAGGATCTGGGATGGGCTGAAAGGGACCTGGAAGCTCAGGAAGGGACCGGGATGGTCGTACCGAGAAATCCACGGTGCTGGTGCGGGGGTAGCCGGGGATGCCGGGGCTGAAGCGCCAGTTGGTCTCCAGGTGGTTGAAGAGGCGCCCGTCGGTGCAGACGGCCTGGGCGGGCACAGGGGGTGTGGGGGCCCGGCGGGCACCAGGATCACGGAGCCCTCCAGGCTGGAAGCCCCTCCTGGATCCCCCCGAGTGCCACGGCCCGGCCAGCTCCAGGGACGGGCACCGAGAGCTTCCCTGGGCACCTCAATGCTGACAGCGAATTCCACGGGGAAATTCAACCTGAGCCTCCCCTGGGACAACCTGAGGCTGATTTCCCTTCTCCCGTCCTTCCCTGGGAGCAGATCCTGACCCCACTGTCCCACCAGGGAGTTGTGGGGTGGAAATTCCCCTCTGAGCCTCCTTTTCTCCAGGCAGCTCCAAAGCCTGAGAAGCTTTTCCAGGAGGAAATTCCTCCTCATGTCCACCCTGAACCTCTCCTGGAGGAATTTCAAGCTATTCCTTCTCCTCCTGCTGTTCCTGGGAGCAGATCCCGACCCCGCTGTCCCACCAGGGAGTTGTGGGGTGGAAATTCCTCTCTGAGCCTCCTTCCCTCCAGGCTGAGCCCTTCCCCAGCTCCCTCAGGTCTCTCCAGCCCCAGGTCCCAGCTGACCTTGACGAGGTGTGGCCGCACCAGGGTGACGATGGAGGTGTAGCGCTCCAGCACGGGTGGGAACCCCACCTCCAGCTGCGCCTTCAGGTGCCCCGAGCGCCGCGCCAGCACCGCCGACCTCTTGCACCAGGGCACGAAGTTCTTGTAGTCCTCCACGTTGGCCACCACGTCGTACATCTCCTGCATGGAGTACCTGCGCAGAGACGGCCGCGCTGGGGGGCTTGGCTGGGATTGGGGTGGGATTGGGGTGGGATTGGGGCTGGGATTTGGGGTGGGATTGGGGGCTGGGATTGGGGCTGGGATTTGGGCTGGGATTTGGGGTGGGATTGGGGGCTGGGATTTGGGGTCAGGGCTGGGGTTTGGGGTCAGGGTTGGGGTTCGGGTCAGGGTCTGTGTTTGGGTCAGGGTTTGGGTCAGGGTTCAGGTCAGGGCTGGGGTCAGGGCTGGGGTCAGGGTTCGGGTCAGGGTTTGGGGTCAGGGTTTGGGTCAGGGTTTGGGTCAGGGTTTGGGGTCAGGGTTGGGGTTCGGGTCAAGGTGTGGGTTTGGGTGTGGGTCAGGGTTTGGGTTTGGGGTCAGGGTCAGGGTTTGGGTTTGGGTTTGGGGTTCGGGTCAGGGTTGGGGTCAGGGCTGGGGTCAGGGTTTGGGTCAGGGTCAGGGTCTGTGTTTGGGTCAGGTTTGGGGTCAGGGTTGGGGTCAGGGTCTGTGTTTGGGTCAGGGTTTGGGGTCAGGGTCAGGGTTTGGG